CTGGGATCCTGGGATGGAGTCCCACATGGGGCTCCCCACAGGAATCCTGCCTCTTCCTCTGCCTATGTCTCTGCCTCTTTCTGTGTGTCTCTCGTGAATAAATAAATAAAATCTTAAATAAATAAATGTTGAAAACCCCTAAGCAGCACTTTTATTATTATGACTAAGCAAATATTCTTTGCTGCACAAAGAGGCTAAGAGTGTATATTGTGCATACTGTTCCAATGACACAGATCCTATGCACTTAGAAGAGCCCTTTTTATATTCCATCATTTGCTGAATATCAGGCCACATTTTGATTTACTTCATATTTGAGCTATGCCTTTCATCAAAAATTTTTGTTTTTCCTGAAGTTGCTGATTACCTCTCCTTTTTCATTGTTGGTGGAAGAAACATGTGTTTTCTACACTGTATATGCCCAATATCCTCCAAATTTTTTCTCATTCCATTAATTGTTTGGGATATTTTTGTTCTTCTTTTTTGAAGTCTGCTGACCTTCTGATCTAATTGAGCAGGTTGCTTCAGTTTGGGATCTTAACACTCTTGCATAGCTTTTTGTCTTTAATGCTGTTACTAATTGCCTTAATTGCCTTCTGTTTTTTATCAAAGGTTTAATTTCTGGCAGTTCCCCATAATACTCTTAACTCTACAGAATGTCCCCTTCTCACACCATTCTGAGAAAACTCTTTCCTGGAGCTTTCATCCTCCCACTTAAAGAAGACTGATTGCTCTCTCAGGCCTGCTGAACAATTATATCCTCAATTTTCATGGCTGCCTTAAATTGGATCCATTGTTTCCCAGATCTCATATCTTCTCTCTTGGTTTACTCTCTCATTTTACTGAAATGCATACTTAAGTAACCTCCTTAAAAAGGTAAAATAGGAAAAAAAAAAAGGTAAAATAGGAAGTAAACTTCCCTGGTCTTTGCATCTTTAGGACCATCACACTTACATATAAAATAAAGGCACAGGACCAGATGATCTTTAATGCCTATTCCAGGAGTATGATTCTAGTCAATACTCGTTCATATATAGCATGCTATATCAAGGAGAAATTTAAAATGGTTGCTGTTTTCAAGGAACTTACATCTAGAAAGGCAAAAAATAAACTCCTGAAAAAAATAATAAAAAGTCAGCAGCAGATGCCACAAAATAGGGCAATATTCAATATCAGTTTGAGCCTCAGGGCTAGAGGAAAGACAGAGAGAAGCTGAGCCAGTCTATGGTGCTCTTACCAGGGAAGCAAGACTTGAGCGTTAAAGAGTAGGCAATATATTAGAGATAGATTAAATATTTATGAATATTCAGCAGTAGATTTATGGCCAACGTTAGTCTAATGGAATGGTTAACGGTCAAGGGAGGCTCTCCTCCCTACCATTGCCCTGTCACCATCTGAGTTATCAACATTTTTGTTTCACCAAGTCAATTGAGAAAGAAAATTTTTAAATATGAAAGTAGAACTTTGCCTGTGGCCAACAGACAAACTCTGTTCTGGAGCATGACAATGAACTTTCATTACACATATGAATTATGTATAAACTTATAAATGCCCTATTTTTTGGATTATGAAGTTACTGACGATGCTCTTTATTAGTAGTGTTTCACTGACCAGGATGGGGTAGGGGGCATTCTCTTTACCATCATCCATTTTTAAAAAAGATTTACTTATTTGTTTGTTTAAGAGAGTATGTATGTGTGCTGGCAAGCAGGGGGAGAGGCAGAGGGAGAGAGAAAGAAGCTGATCTCACAACCCTGAGTCCTGACCTAAGCCGAACCAAGAGCCGGGTGCTTAACCGACTGAGCCACCCAGGTGCCCCTACTATCCTCCATTTTTAAAATTTGTTTTGTGAGACACCTGGGTGACTCAGCGGTTGGGTGCCTGCCTTCGGCTCAGGTCGTGATCCCGGGATTCGGGCCCGATGCAGGACTCTACTGAGTCCTGCATCGGGCTCCCTGCATGGAGCCTGCTTCTCTCTGCCTAGGTCTCTGCCTCTCTCTCTCTCTGTCTGTGTCTCTCATGAATAAATAAATAAATCTTTAAAAAAAATAGAATAAAATTTGTTTTGTATTGTTCCAATGAGGAGTCAGAGTGACCATAAATCGCTGCTTCTTTCCATCCCCTCCCAGGAAATGAAATATCCCTCTGTGGCATGGCAGCACTGCCTGTTGCACCAGAGAAGGCTCTGGGGATTGTAAGGATTGGGCTTTTCCTACTGGATGAACCCAAGGCATTCGCATCAGAGGAAAAACATGCCTTCATCCAGCTCCCGCACCCCACTGTCCCATTCAATATGCAAATGAAGATAAGACTTGCAGAGAAGAAAGTTTTCAGAACAAAGAAAGGATCTTTGGGTCAAGGGTCTGATCAGTTTCCAAAGAGTAGGGGTAAAGAGAGGACAGCAAGTGCTTGGGGCCTTGAGGTTGAGTTCCTAAGCAGGGTCTAACCTCCTGCAACACCTCCAGGAGGTTTTCTCCAAACCCTGCTTCCACCTAGCAAGAATTAACTGTGCTCAAACACTGTTCTTGCTGCCATGACAGCATTTATTAAATTCAAACAAAGTTTGCATCAATTTTCCCCAACAGTGTGTGTGACACCTCGACTGACTTATTCATCACCACATCACAGTGCCTGGCATGTAGTGGTTGCAGTGTTTGTTGAATAAATGAGAGCAAATGCATTGAAAAAAAGCTGCATTTCATAAAATGACAGAGCCAGACATAAATATTCAGTTTTCACAGGAGCTTCACATAAGCCAGAAGGACCTAGAGAAGGAGATCTAGGCCAAGGAGATGATTTCCAGGTTCTGGGCCACTCATACAATTCACGGAGGACAAATCAAAACAAAACAAAAATCACCTACAAGTTTTGTCTGGGCTGCTTTGTCACCCTGGGCTCCGCTGCAGGTTCAGGGGAGCAAAGAGATCAACAAGGACTCAAAGCACCCCCATGCACCCAGAGGTGGGGGCGGTACTGAGCTCTGCAGAAGAGCCAAGAACAAGAAGAATGAACCCACCATCCCTGGAGCACTGCCTCTGTGCCCAACCCCTAAGCTTCCTAGAATTTCATTCATCCTCTCATAGCCCAGAGTGACAGGCATCCTTGACTTCCAGGTGAGAAACACAACCCACGATCAGGAGCCCCTCCTTCAGTGTGGAGAGGGGGGGGAACCTGTGTGCCCAGCAAACTGTCCAGTGACAATGACCAGCAAAACGAAACGAAAAAAAAAAATGCCTGGATACAGTCATTGAAGATTCAGAAATCTATACACCCTCACTTGTTTTTATTAGTTTTGCAGTTTGCTAATTTTCCCTGTATTTTCTTCTGGCTTCTCAGATAGGTTTCTTAGAAAAATCCTATAGGATTCTGATCTAATGGAAGGGAGGTGTGAAGAGGAAAGAGCAGGATGCCCAGGGCAGGGGCATAACCTAAGGAGGGGAGGGAGGGGGAGGAAGGCCTGCAGGGGTCCACAGCCCGGCAGCCGCGTCCTTCTGCAGGTGGTCTGCCGGGGGAGGAGGAGCATAATCCCCTCCCCCAGCAGCGGTTTGGGGAAGCCGCTCCTATGGGGCAGCAAGGCACCTGTTTCCCCAAAAGACCATACAAGGCGCCATTTACTTCACCACTTTTAAAAAGTGGAATGAAGACACATCCCTGCTCATGATCTTCACCTCCCCAGAGAGACAGCCAGGCAGAGCATTTGTACTCCAGCAGGTGGGAGGTCCTCCCGGTGTCTAACTGTGCAGGGAGCTGGAGAGCCGGCCCGGTGACACGGCCCCCCGGGGGGCAGGCTGCAGAGGTGCCACGAGGGGAGAGCCCCGCTGACGCCCCCCTACCTTCTGGCTGAGACACATCTAGGGCCCTGGGCACCGCAGCCGTCCAGGGCACCAGGACGAGCGAGCACCAAGGGGAAAGTGAACACGTCCCGCGTGGATGGGTGTGACCTTCGCTACCACGGCCCGGGCAGGGGCCCCGGGGAGCTGGCTCAGCGCGGGGCCGTGAGAAAGGCCAAAGTAAAACAAACCCGCTTCCAGCTGACCTCTGTTCTTGGGAACTTGGAGCCGTGCGCTGGCAACGGGCTGGCGCAGGGGCAGACTTTCTCCGGGGAGGGCACAGGGGTGCCTGCCGCTCCAGACCCGCACGCAATCGGGGTGTGTTGGGGGGGTGTTGACCTCCTGGCAAGAATGGCGAGTGGTCCCCAGCAGGCCAGCCGGGAGTTAGGGGGAGGGCGTGCAGAGAACCGGGGTGGGGTCAGGAGAGGGAGGGTCAGGGAAACGTCCCATTCCCTCCTCTACATACCCCTAGGCCCGCCTACCTCTGCGATGGACTCTTAAAATGTGGGGCGCCGGGGACCATCAGGGCGCTCCGGGCACCCGAGGCCCACAAGGAATTACACGGGCGCGCTCCCCACTTTCTCAGGGGTCACCTCTGGCCGAAAGCGGTCGAGCCGGGCATTCCGACTAGTGAGCCGGTCCCCGGTGCCCCCGGAGCCCTGCGGCGGCGGCGGGCGGGACCGCGGACATCCCGAGGGAGGCGGAGGACACTCGCCCCCGCACGGTCGGCTCCGCGCGAAGGCGGGCGGCTCGCGGGGAGCCCCGAAGCCCGGCTGGGGCCCCTCTTCCCCAGCCCCCAGCCGGGGAGCTGGGTGGCCGCCGCGCTCGCGCTGCTGGGCCCGCGCCCCTCAAAGGAAGGGGCTCGCGGGGGGCGGGGGCGCGCCGGGGACCGGGGCAGGATTTCGGGGCTCCTGGAGCGGAGCCGCGCGGGGGCGAGGGAGCCGTCCGTGCCGCCGCCCGCGGGCCCGGGGTCCCCCGCAAAGTTCCGGCTCCGGGGGCCGGACCACGGCGCTCACAGGTGGGAGGAAGGGAGCGCGCGTCGGGGAGCCCACTCCGCGCGCCTCGGCGGGGCACCTGCCGCGGGGGGGAGGGAGGGAGGGAGGGTGGCGCTGGGAGCGCGGCGCCCGCGCAGGGCGTCCCCGGGGCGCGGGGGGCGCCGCCGCCGCGTCTTACCCAATCCCGGCACGAAGGTGTTGAGGAAGAGGCAGATGACGGCCACCGGGAAGGGCATGTAGGGGATGGCGGCGCGCAGGGGGCCCTTCTTCTCGCGGACCTGCACCACCACCCCGCTGGAGGAGGACGCGGCGCGGGGGTCCGCCGCCGCCGCCGCCGCCGCCGCCGCCGCCGCGGTCTCGGCGTCTTTGTGCGAAGGCTCCATGGCGGGGCGCGCGCTGGGCGGGTGGCGGCGGCTCCGGGCCCCGGGCTCCGCGCCCAGCTCCGGCGCCAGCGGCTCGTCTACAGCCCGCACTCCCGCGTCCCCACGCGCCCGGCCCTCCGCCGCGCTGCGCCGCGCCCACACCCCGGCGCGGGGCGGAGGGGGCGGCGCGACACCCGGCGACGGCGCCCCGACGCCCCTCCCCGCCGGGCCCCTTCCCCGCCCCCTCCCCGCCTCCCCCTACAAAATGCCACTGACGGATCCTAGCCGGGGCTGCCAAGTGGAGGAGCCAGGCGCGGGGAGCCGGCGCGGTGCAGGTCCTGGGAGGGTGGCCGCACGCCCCCGGGCCGGGTCAGCTGGGCGCCAGCCTCCGCCCGGGACGCCGCGAGGGGGTGGCGCGCTGCGCGGGCCGGTCGCCGAGGTGGAGCGCAGTCCTTTCCCCCGGGGGCGCCCGCAGGGCTGCGCCGCCCGAGGCCGGGGTCGCACGGCGCCTGGTGCCCACCAGGCCTTCAGCTCTCTCGGAGTTAAACGGATTTCGTCCCAGTCGACAATAGAGCTGCAAGCAGGAGACACGGCTTTTCAAACAGGTTCAAGACTGCCTAGGATGGGACCCTCTCCTACACACGCGCGCGCGCGCACACACACAGACGCGGAAGGCGGGAAGAAGTGCACCTGCTGCGGGAAGCTGGGATGGTGGGGACCAGCCCCTGAACCGTCCTGGAAGAAAACCTGGCCTTTTGTGTGCCCGACGTGGTGGTTAGGAAGCCAGCGAGGACACAGCGCCGTCTGGTGTTGACAATGTGACAATCGGTAGAAGCCAGAGGGTTCTCCTATGGAGTCCGAGCTGGGGGAGCAAAAGGTCCCACACTGAATTAGGGTTTTGGGGGAACGTTTTTAAGTCGGCTTCCTGCCCAGCATTGGAGCCCAGCGCGGGCTGGAACTCGAGATCCTGAGATCAAGACCTGAGCTGAGATCAAGGGTCGGAGGTTCATCCTACTGAGCCACCCAGGAACCCCTGAATTAGGTTGTTTTTTTTTTTTTTTTTAATAATGCTGCCCTCACCTCATCTCCACACCATATGGAAAAAGTGACTGGATGAAAGCAACTGCCTCCTACCTTAGGGCGATGTCCAGTGAGTCAGAATTACCCAAATATTCATCCCAGAATGATGGGAAGAAGGCAAATCGACTTCCTTCCCCGTGACCCTCCTTCTCCAGGAATAATAGTGACTGTATGACCCTAAAACAGCACAGGAGTCAGAGGAAGGATACTGAAAGTCTTTCAGATTATCATACATGATTTTCCGGGTATCTGAATAAAATGATTTAAAAGCAGATGCTCAGCAGGGGGTAGTGGTGATACCATGGCCACACAAGTACCTGCATGCTCATATCTAACTCAGGCCTGGCAGGCAGAGTGAGCAAGTTATAGTCTCTATTGGGCCACTGATTACCTGCGTGACTTAAAAGAACTCATTGAGCCTTTTCTGGGCTCAGATTGCAACATCAAAGCAGAATTTAATATGCATTTATTGAAGGCCTAATACCACTCAGGTTCCAGGGAGAGAGGAAGGAGGTAAACCCAGGCTCTGCCTTCAAGGGTCTAGTAGATGAACTGAGCACAGTGATAGAATCGGACAGTGACAGATGTCCTGGCTGTCGTAAGCTGAAGGTGCTGAACGAACGAGGGCATGTCTGCGGAGCTGCCACCCACTGTGGTTGTACAGTGGCTAGAGCCAATCTTGGTCCAGAATCCATATGGATAGGATATTTCATTCAGAGGCCCAGGAAATAGCCCACATTATTTGAATATTCTTTCACAGAGCACCTGAACTATTTTAGGACCATGCAAACACTATTATTCCTAGAAGGGGAAAAAAAGGATTTCAAGGAAGAAAGTGGATTTACATCTCCCAAATTGCCAGATGATTCACTTAATATCTGGATGTCAGAAAGACATCCAGGCAGAGCAACAACACATACAAAAGCATGGATGGAAGTCTAGGAAAGCAGGGAACATTCCAGGGATTACAGTTATGTCTGGGGCTGGAGCTTGTGTGGAAGGGATAGGAGTTGGCTCGAGTTGCCCAGAAGCCCAACAATGAAGGGCAAAGAAATCTGGACTTTATCCTGGTGGCCGTGTTGGGTCACTGGAATGTTTTCAGCAGGGGGCAGCGTGGCATGAGTGTTGTAAGTTACTATTACTATGTAACAAACTACCCCAGAATTTGGTGGCTTGACACAACCTTTTTGTAATGATCACAAGTTCTGTGGGTCAGGAAATGTCTGGAAGCTCAGCTGTGAAGGCAGCAATGGTGGCAGCTGGAGCAACTAGGAGTGAGGATTCCTTCCCAGAATAATTCTCAGCTCTGAGAGCTGGCTCAACCAGGCCTATTCCCTAGACCTCGTTTTAGCTGAAAAAAATAACAATTTTGCTGAAATCCACTTCCAAACTGTTTCCAGGCACCGTTCTAAGCACTTTACACATTTTCACTCATTTCACTCCAAGAAATTCATACAGCAACTGGAATGGCTCCTTTTGGCAAAGACTGGCATTGTGGCATTGGCAGGAGAAAGACAGGTTTTCTTCAAGTTCTATGTCTTTGAATGATGTCTTCACCTCTCTTAGCCTCAGGCTCTGAAATTATAATACCTATCCCATTTGTGTATGCATAAGGATTAAGTGAGAGAATATGTGGAAAGCACTCAATAAATGCCAACTGAGTGAGGAGGTTTTGCATCCCAAGTGATAGCCAACACAGGGGCGCCTTCGTGGCACAGTCAGCTGGGTGTCCAACTCTTGGTTTCGGCTCAGATCATAATCTCAGCATCATGAGATCGAGTCCCACATGGGGCTGCACACTCAGTGCAGAATCTGCTTGAGATTCTCTCTCCCTCTGCCCTTCCCACTCATACTCTCTTTCTCCCAAATAAATAAATAAATCTTAAAAAAAAAAAAAGGAAGAAGAAGAAAGAAAGCCAACACAAATTTCGCTTTTAAGATTAAAAAAAAGAATTTATATGGTGATTTTTGGATGTATCCACTTGGAGAGGCTGAATTTCAGTCCCCGGAATCCCCTTTCCCATTTGTTTCTGTTCCAGGTGGGCTACGGGTGATGATCCCTGTCAAGGGCTGGAGGACAGAAGGGAGGCCATGGCCATTCAGTGGCAGATGTGCACCTCCCCCAAGGCGCTCAGTCAAATGCTAACATAGGTGCTGTGGTGGAGGAATTCTGCAGGTGTGGTTAGAGCCCCTAAGCAGTTAACTATAAGTGAGCCAAGCATGCTCCCTGCTCTTGGGATCTTCTTTCTTCGGTGTGACCTATGGATGTCTGGCTTTGACCTTGCCATGGCATTTCAGCCTGCTTGCCATCTTCCCACCCTGAGCACCTGCCCTGTGGATACCAGCTTAGCCAGCCCCTACAATTAACAAATCCATACCTCCATATATCTACCTGTCTGCCTCTCTGTCTATCATCTATATGATTCTGCTAGTTCTGCTTCTTTGGTTGAACCCTAACTGGTATAATGGGCTCATGTGGCTGGAAGGTCCAAAGAAGGCTCAAATTATGTCAGTGAGTCATCTAATCAGTTAATACTTCTCTGTCTCGGGGATCCCTGGGTGGCGCAGCGGTTTGGCGCCTGCCTTTGGCCCAGGGCGCGATCCTGGAGACCCGGGATCGAATCCCACGTCGGGCTCTCGGTGCATGGAGTTTGCTTCTCCCTCTGCCTGTGTCTCTGCCTCTCTCTCTCTCTCACTGTGTGCCTATCATAAATAAATAAATAAATAATTTAAAAAAAAATACTTCTCTGTCTCTTTCTGTGTCTCTCTCAAGCTCTGTCTCCACTCTGCTGGCCTCCGTGTGAGGCTTCATTCAGTCGACTGGTTCTCCCTATGTGGGGAGGAAGAAGATGGCCTCTGAACAGCTGGGACTCACATCTTCCCAGGCAAGCCCAGCAGAAAGACACATCTTTCTCTCCAAGGGTCCTCTTGGATCAGTCACTGTTGCCAGGGTACTGTGGCTAGATACTCAATTTGACCAGGCCTGTGATGAGGGGGATTCTAGAACTGATAGCCCCCTCCACCCTCAAGGATTGGGTAGAAGTACAGCCAGAACAGGGGTGTGGGGATGCATGCTAGACAAACAGCCGTAGAGACTGCAGCCTACTCTGCATGACAGTGAGTGGGTTTCTGGATAATTAATCTTCTCAGCCACTGATCTTGACCTACAGGAGCTATGTGTTTGGATTTCCTTCCACAGGCTAACTTGCACTGACACATCCTCTGGTTGCCTTTCCCACATGCAACATACTCCTGTGAAATCAAACACAGAGCCCAGTCTGGCTGGTACCACATCTCACACCACTTTTTTTTTAATATTTTATTTATTTATTCGTGAGAGACACACAGAAAGAGGCAGAAACAGAGGCAGAGGCTGCCTGCAGGGAGCCTGATGTGGGACTCAATCCCAGGACCCCAGGATCACAACCTGAGCGAAAGGCCCAACCACTGAGCCACCCAGGTGCCCCATCTCACACCACTCCTATACCCAGCTGTGTGATCTTGGTCAGAGCACATCATCTCCCTGTGCCTCCATTTACCCATTTGTGTAATGGAAATGGCCATGCCCAGCCTTCCCATTCCTGAAGACCAGGAGTGTGAACTTAGAACCACAAGTTAGAAGAGGAGGATTATTTCAGATCTTTCAATCTGGCGGTTCATATCTCTGCTCCCTCTAGGAATGGAACTTCTCATCCTCCTTCCCAAAAAGATGTTTGCCCTCCCCACTGTTCTCCTGAAGCCCTAATGCTGTAATATTTGCAGAGGAACGTGATGACAGAAAGTTCATAAGGCCAAGGACAACAAGAGAAGTGAAGGCATGGGACAACCCATGGTCCCAGCTTCCCAACAAGAGGCACACTGGAGCCAGTGTGCTCTGCTGGACTCAGAGTGGTTCCTGTTCTAGAAGAGAGGCACCCCTCTCGGTGGGTGTCCTTTTGTCAATTTAACAGGGTGAGCATGATAGTAATGTTGGCAGTGGAGCAATAATAAGACCAGGCTGTCTAGATTTGGACACCAGCCATTTACAAAGATAT